GGTTTTGTGGGCGCCTCGGCGACGTCAGGTCGTTTTATCCTTCACATTACAAGACATATTAGGCAGAGAGAGCTATATATCTTTTACTTAAAGACTCTTAAATTTGACTCGATATTTTTAATCATTCAATGACAATATTGAAAGATAATGGTAGTATTTTTTTATATTTTTACAAAGTTAATATTTATTTTGTAGGCACTCAGTTTACAATTCGTACACTACAATATTCAGGGCGTTCTTGATGCTTTTTTTCTAGGATCCGTGAGCGACTCGACTGTTCCTTGTTTGTCGCACGACTGACTCGCGGCCCCATCTCACGTGATCATAACAATACTCACGCGGAAGAAAAAGGCGGGCACAGACCCGGTAACGAAAGATAAAATAACTAATACAAAGAAAATGCCTACAGTTCGGCCATTCTGACTTTTGACCGTCTCGGTCAAACAAAATAAAAAAAGAACATTACCCTTGTGCACTTAATAACTAAAACTATTGCTACAACACACGTAAATCGGAACTTCTACTATAACATACAGAATACAAAACTTACACCTAAAACATATGCGATTAATCATGAGTGAATATAAGGCCTCATTTGGTCGGGCGCGACTATACTTGTATACGGTCTCTGGGTTAGATGAAACCCATCGATGTCAGAAACAACATAACGATCGTGATCGAGAACTGCTTTTACAATATAGGGCCCTTTGAATTTAGGCAGCAGCTTTTTGTTTATGCCGGGTGTAGTTTCGATATTTCTTATCTCGATATAATCGCCCACTTTATATTCACGCGCAGCTTTTCTTCGCAAATTGTATCGCTTCTCGTTCTGGAGTTGTAGCGCTTCGATATTCGCAGACGCATGATTTCGAATCTCTTCAAGGTCGCGATTCACATCTGGGTTAAGTATTTCACGCAAAGAGTCATTAGCTTTTCCCTTTTGATCAACTCCGAACAACAATTGCGAAGGGGTTTTACCAGTGGCTCGACACACGGTATTATTTAAAGAATACTCGACATCATTTAAGACCCGATCCCATTTGGAGGGAGTTTCGCTTAGCTTTGCCAACATTGGAGCAATGGTCCTATTAAAACGCTCCACTTGACCATTAGCTCTGGGTGTACTCACTGCAATAAGGACATGTTGAATATCTTCACTTCTCAAAAACTCCTTAAATGCGTCAGATGTGAAACACGTACCTCTGTCTGAGATTAGACGCTTTGGCTTGCTATACGCACGGAAGTAGTCACGCAAACATTTTATTGATTCATCCGTCGTAGTAGACTTACAGGGATACGTCCGAGTGAACTTAGTAAATGCATCGATAATAATGAGTATATGCCTGTAGTTTTTAGCAGTTTTCTCTAACGGACCAAGGTGATCTATATGAATCGTCATAAATGGTAATTTCTCTTTCGGTACGTTATGTAAAAATCCTTCTGCTTTACCGCTTATCGGCGAAAACTCGATACATCGAAGACAATTAGCGATGTGCTCTTTTACTTTCTCTCGCAATCTCGGGAACCAATAAACCTTTAAGATATTATTAACAGTTTTGTCAACGCCTACATGTCCAATATCGTCATGACATGTTCTAATTACATTAGTTTCCATTAAACAGGTACAAAGAATAATAATTTCTTATCATTATCTTTCCTATACACTAAACCGTCACGCAATTCGTAATGTTTCACTTCACCCTCTTCAAGTCTTTCTCGAATTTTTAGAATCTCGGCATCTCTGTCTTGGCAAATAGACAGCGTTCGTTCAAACGTGCTACCCTCGAGTACTAATACACTGTGGCATCGGCTCAGCGCGTCGACATGAGCCATTCGTTTCCCAGGTCGATGCTCTATCTCATAATTATAGTTTTGTAGGAACAAGGCCCAACGAGATATTCGCGGATTAATATCTTTTTTGTTTAGCGTGAGGCGAAAACTGTCGCAATCCGTAACAATTTTAAATTTCTGTCCAGCTAGATAAATATGAAATCGCTTCAACGCATATACCACCGCGAGGCACTCAAGCTCATAACTGTGATATTTTGCCTCGGTGGGTGTAGTTCGCTGGCTCCAGAAAGAAATAGGCTTCCACGCGCCCTCGCTCTGTTTTTGGAGTAGAATACCACCGTAACCGCTCGCGCTCGCATCACAGTGTAACTCGGTATCTGCGTGGGGCGAATAAATCGCTAATACCGGTCTACTAGCTAAATGACGTTTCAATGTCTCAAACGCCTCATGCTCCGCGACACCAAAAGCAAATGAAGCATCCTTTTTGTTCAAGTCGTACAATGGTTTTGCCAGTAGAGAAAAATTAGGGACGAATCTACGAAAATAGCTCGCAAGACCGACAAACCGACGGACCTCTCCGGCATTTCTCGGTACTGGGTAGTTTAATACTGACTCGATGTTTTCGTCGCTCGGTCTTATTCCATGCTGATTCACACAATATCCAAGATTATTTTATTTCTGTTTGCAGTAAAATAGCATTTGTCTACGCGAAATTGTAATTGACTCTTACCAGCTAACTCAAATAATTCTGACAAAATTGCTAAGTGTTCATCTATACTACTCGTAGCGATCAAAATATCGTCAAGATACAATAATATTTTATGCTCTCTGATTAACTTATCAAATATATTATGTATAAATCTTTGAAATATACGCGGCGCATTTGTTAATCCAAAGGGCATTCGTAAGTACTCATATTGTCCTAGCGGAGTTACGAACGACGTGAATTTTATCGATGTTGCACTCATCTTGACGTGATGGAATCCGTCTCGTAAGTCTAACACGGAAAAGTATCTTTTATCTTTCAAACGATCAATGTTATCATCTATGAGCTCGGTTGGAAAATTATCGCGTACTGTTATTTTGTTTATTTCACGAAAATCAACACAAAGTCGGGGTTCACCCGTCTTCTTTCTTACCAACACGATTGGACTCGCGTATGCCGAATTACTCGGGCGAATAATATTTTCTTTTATTAGCCTGTCTAGGATTTTTTGTAACACTTCTTTATCAGCAAAAGAGAGTCTACGCGGACGCGAAGTTATCGGCTGATCGTGTTTTAAAACGATATTCATCTCGAAGTCAGGCTCATGTTTCTTTAACTGAAAATTTCGAAGATAACAAGACTCGTAGATGTCGCATACTCGATTACAGACGTCTCGATCTACAGCGGGATTAATCCGTAACTCGTCACATACATTATCTACATGTTCACTCACAGCAATGTTCAATACTTGTTCGCTATTTGATTCGCACACGCTCTCGATTTCGACCGTATCCCCAAGAGTAATACGCAAAGAGGGGCAAGCTAAAAAGTCTCTGCCTAGCAGCATCCTAAATGCAATCGTATCATCGGGTACCGTATAAAATTTTATTTTTGTGCACACGCTCTGTACCTCGACGTTGCCATAAAATATACGTAAAATCTTAAGACGTGAACCGTTGATTCCACAAAATCGACTAGTGTCTTCATTCACCGGATTACAACTCGCGGCACTAACAACACTATCGCGAACTAGACTAATAGGCGAGCCAGAATCGATTATCGCATCTATCGTAAAGGTATCTACGCTGTCGTTCTTATTACTAGAACTAATTTTTACATTGATCAAGTAAGGTCTCGGGAGTTCACTATTTTGTTCCATCTCTATAATGTTTGTTGATGTTGATTGTGCAGATTTTTCTTTTACTTCAGACACAGTGGCTTGCTTGCGCTCAGGGCAACTTCTCGCCAGGTGTTCCGTTGAACCGCACACGAAACATGTTCTCTTCTCCGCTGACAACGGATTCTTGCAGTGTGTAGCGATGTGTCCAGTCTCGCGGCACTTGTAGCACCTCGTCGGCTTCGCTTTCGCGGACTCCGTTTTTGCAGACGATTGTGGGCCGGTCTTCTTCAACTTCGGGTCGCTATACCGTTTGTTCTCTAAGCTGACGTTCTCGAAGGCCTCTAATAACATCGTTTTTGACTTAAAATTCATTATACGCGCCTGGTTTTGTAAGCGTATATCAGTAATACCCTCAATGAGGTAATCGAGAAGTTCGTCTTCGTCTATTGGCACTCGATTAGCAAGAATTATTTTGTCGTGATAATAATCACAAAATGGTTCGGCCGTTTTCCATGCACGGGCTTCAAATTCCTTGCGGAGAGATAATTTGCCAGGGCGCAGGTCAAACATGCGCGTCATTTCTCCCAACAAATCTTCGATACTCAGCATCAGGTGTTCCGCTTTGGAATAAAACCAGGTGAGAGCTCGTCCTCTCAATCTTGAGCTTATTAAAATTCTTGCAGAATTATCATCTAGTTGATAAGAGTTTCTCAACAACTCTAGCTGATGTTTCCATCTCCAGAATGTATTCTCGGTAGCATCAAATTCGGGTAAGAGATCTTTGAGGTTACGAACACCACCGCTCGCCGAGGCAGCGTTACTCGATGCGGAAACGCTACGCGCCATCTCGCGTTCCCGTTGTAGCAGTTGTCGCTCCCTCTCGATCAACTCTCTCTCTCTTTGAACCAATGCTAATTCACGTGACACGTGATCGTCAGATTCTTCCGATCGCAGCGGCCCCGTTTCCGGTCTTCTTTCCTGAACCGTTGCATCGCCTTCTGAATCTGCCGATTCGTCCATGTCCTCTCGCACACTATCGGAAGTCGACGCGTCTTTCACTCGCGACGCCTGATTCCGTTTTTCACTTAGAATTGCCCAATATTCGGATCCGCGATACTCAACCGGACAATTAGCTCTGCCTTCGAACCACTAGAAGCTAATTTTCTCTCGCGAAGAGCATCTTTTAGCTCGGCTACCGTAAAGTCTTTTCCTTCCAATAACGCCATACTAACGATCCGATGTACAGTCTCGATACAGCGCAACGACAACGATACCGTTCACACAGAACTAAAACGATCCGCCGGCACTCGGGTATCTTACACACAGAAAATAACCCGTACACGACTCACATAGAGTGTTTTTGTACCCGTCGTCCTTTATCACGTGTCGCGTCTATATCGTCTCGTATTAACACTCGCGCGAGGTTAATCACAATACTTATCGTATCAGACTCAGTCGCACCGAATCCGTATTCGAATCCCACTTCTGAAAATAATACTGTAGGCACTCAGTTTACAATTCGTACACTACAATATTCAGGGCGTTCTTAATGCTTTATTTCTTAGGATCCGTGAGCGACTCGACTGTTCCTTGTTTGTCGCACGACTGACTCGCGGTCCCATCTCACGTGATCATAACAATACTCACGCGGAAGAAAAAGGCGGGCACAGACCCGGTAACGAAAGATAAAATAACTAATACAAAGAAAATGCCTACAATGGTAAAAAACCATTGTCAAACAGAATATATTTGTCTTTAGAACTAATTGCAATCCCATGAAACTCCTCTCGGACCATTCCGGATGATTCATCAAGAATTCACTGGACATTCAATCCTAACTTTCAAGGAAGTATTTTCGCCCAGAGCTGCAGCTGCGAGGGTCATCTGACGTCATCTGACATCGATCGTATCTGCATTTGGCAATCAACCTCATGCCTCGTAGTGTAGGTGTGTAAAAAAAGTGATCAGAGGCGTGGTTGGAACAATGAACACGAAGATGCTATCGGACATCGTAACCGTCGACGAGTTGAATAGTTGATAAAACAACGATATATATACACTGTGATCCGAATAAGAAGTAACAATCATCGCGAGTTTCTCCGACATATAATACATACTCTTAAATTATGTGTTGATATTGTATTTTTCAGATTTATATAACATTATAAACAGAAATAACTAACTTATCAAAATAAAAAGTCCCTTAATATAGTAATTAATTTAATACTTAAATCAAACTTTAATTTAAAAATTCCTTTCTAATGCTTTCTGTTTTTTTATTTCAAAAATAGAAGGAATAATTTTGTATTTTCTGCATTTGCAGAGCCTCAAGGTTTGATTAATTTTACTAGATTATGGCCGCGTATTTAAGAATAGCTATTAACAATGCAGTAATAATCACTCTAAGATTACTTTAAGAATATGACCGGTTAATCCTAGAACGACTATTATTGCACTTGCGATATACCGAATGCGATGAGTTCATCCGAACAATTCCAAATGGCAATAACTTCTAAACTACCACGTACACATATCGCTACTTTACGAGCAACTACGCCTGTCTGAGTAATGACGTTTATGACGATCGGAACCATCTTCATGTGCGTTTTCCAACCACGCCTCGGCGAGGAATATATTTTGTTCAGAATCTTATGCAAGGTGCAAATATAATTTCAACGATTCGTTAAATCCAGCGTAAAGAGTCGAAATTGTCGAACAATGACAAGAGTTTTGATAATGTAAAGATCAAAATATTGAATATCAATAAACACTTGAAATTGACTTTTATAAATCGTGGTGTCTTCTTAATAAAACGACTACTTTTTTGCGGTTTCTTCCCATTTGTGCAAATGAATGATTTCGACACGAATTAATGTATGAATTGCCTCATTTCGTCGGATCAATCACCGCAAACCAAACGAATTAAGTTATTACAAGCGCGATTACGATTCCACGCTTATTTGTTACGCCATACAACTGACTCTAACTGACACGTTTAATAATACGGCAATAACTGTCTTGATTCGGCGTTTTTTATCGTTGTAATGAGGACTATTAGACAAACTTTGCCCTTAAGAAGGAGGTCAAGCCTACGATGAGTCTTTGCGCAAAGCTCGGTCTGCAAAAAAATCCCTAGGCTTGGATTATGACCAGTTCATTACTAATCTACCGGAACGAGTGAGTAGACACGAGTGAGATCACTCATGTTAACAAATCGAGAGTGGAATGAGAGTGCAGCACGCACCACGCACGCTTCCATTCTACGGCACGAGTCAACCGCGTTCATGACATACATAGTTTCATTACTCAAGTCAATCAGTGATTTAAGTTGAACGAAATGAGAGCAGTGAAACTTTGATTAGCCATCCATTTAATTCAACACTAAAAATAATTTACTTCATCGTAGAAAAGTAATTAGGGACATGTTGTTTTTTTATTTGTGAGATATGTAATTAAATGTAGAGTGAGATACAAGAAGATAAGAAATTATAAGATTTAATGATAACATACTGAAAACCTAAAGAAAAATCATAAATAGATAAAAAATAAAATCTGAGTTTTCATAAATTTTTCAAATATAAGACAATCTAGTAAAAAAATATTAGAAGTCAAAGTTGAAATATTAGAATAAAATTTAGTTTGCAAATATTTACGATTTTGGATTATTTGTAAAAACAAATAAATAATTATGTTAAATTGCATGTATCTCAATATAAAAAATTATAAGAATAAAACAAATAGCAAAACTGTAAAAAATCAACATTTACTGCTATCATTTATCCATGCGGTGCATCAATTCAGATCGTGCACAGCAGAATTGATGCACTGCGCCAAGCATCCTCATGTTTCCTCGTACCCAGCGCGGTTCATTAAACACTAGACACGTAGCAGCGCGACGTATCGAGGACTTCCATCCAAGCTCTGACGATGCACGCGAGATCCCCTTTTATCCTTCGACACGGATCCTGCGCGCACGCGGCAACGGGTTATCGCGATTCCGTGACATGACGACGATGAAAAGCCGATAGGGTGCAGCGGGCGACCACGCCGGAGACGAAGGGAGAAGGAACGCGACGGGTTGACGAACCCGCGGTAGCGACAAGATGGCGAGGCAAGGCCGGTCGAGGATAAGCCTGATCGTTTTTCAGCTTTCGCCGACTTGCTGTAAAGCCCGACGACACACTTACGAGGCGTTGGCCTCCGCCGGCCGGCCGGTCGGCCGGCCCGCATGTGTAAACACGGGGAATATCTTCATTTGCGTGTTTGTGGGCGGCGAAGCGAGCGAGTGAGCGAGCGAGCAGCTCGTGGCCCCGGAGAGCAACGGACTGTACGGCGCATGCAGTCGGAATAAGTAGGCAGCCTCGAATCCCTATGTAGGTAACCGGGTCCCAGAAACCCGTTTCGCGACGCCCTTCCGCAGATCCATTCGCGAGAGCGCACGGCGGTCCTTTAAACGAATCAAAACGCAAACGCGCAACGCGGATCACCGAAACTCTATGCCAAACACAGCGGATCACTTGCCAAGCACATTTAACGCACATTTAACATTTGAGTATGAATAGCGTGAGTGATGGTGAAAGGATTCACGATGCGTGGTTTCAAACAAAGCTAACAATTAAGATAAATTTAAAGATAAAGCTTGTAATTTGGATCGTGAGGAATCTTTCGCTCACGTTTTGGAAGATGAAAGTGAAGCGAAAGCGAGAGATAATGCGGATACGCATCCATGACGAAGAAAAGAAAATGGAGCCGAATGACCGACATTTTGAATAACCGCACTTCACTTGGCTGGCTGCGTTCATAAATCGCAATCATAAATGCGAAACAAACATAAATTGCTGTTCTATTATGAAACAAAGAGAAATGTAATCACATGTCAAACAGAATATTGTTTTCTCGTGGTTAAAGAGACAACAGCCGTAAAAATGCCTTTTGCGAGAAAAAAATTAGAAATCGTTCAATAAAAAATTTACAGTGCCTTGTGCGTACTACTTTTTAAACTAATTCACATAATTCCTCACGATGATTCATGCACGAACGTTCTGAACATTTGACGAACGCGATAGCAATTTTTTATGCTGACTAACACGATGAACATCTTTGCGGTAAGAGAAAGTTAAAATATGCTTATCAAATATTGCATGTGCAACGTTACTTAGGGATTTCCTTACACGTTGCTTCTTACATAAATACGCTAATGTTTCTGGGAAGTGCCTTGGCGAAGAAAGCTTCGGACGTAAAACTATTGTACATACTATAAGAAACAATGCTGATTAATCTGGCGGGAAGCAGACGTTTAAAGTCAGACTAAAATAAGCTGGTTGAAGACCAAGGAAGTACGTGACGAAAATAAATTGCGTTAACGATTCCAAATTGTCCACGCTCACTTTAATACAAAATTACAGTTGTTTTTAGTATTATTATTATTTAAAAGAGATTCTTATCCGTTATAAATAATATCATTAAGTAAAATTGTGAATCACATTTTAGTGTGAGAAACTACAGCAAACACAGAATTATAATAAAAGTAACGTACAATCTTTCATGTCTGATTTCAGTAATTTTAGCAAATTTAGCAACGTTCAGAAGTTTTAAGACGATAATTTATATGCAACCCAGCGATATCGTATATGTTAAATAATTTTTCTGACAAATTAATATTTATTTTTAATTTGAAAAAAAAACTGACATAAAAACTCTATGATCGACTTTATTTAAATGTGCACAAATTAATGGTCCTTACTCAACATACACATTCGAATACTAGACATATTTAGAAAAGAAACCTAAATAATGGTCCGTTCTAAGAATACTCGAGACTTGTTTGCGCTTCGTATTTAAACATTATTGTAGAGGCCAGACGCTTGCTAGAAGCGTTTGCTCTCCAAAGCAAGAAGGTTGATGTTTCCTCACGTTTTTCCATTTTTGGATGACACGTCTATTGCGCAATGACTGCGCGCTGAAGACGACCGAAGGAAGGACACACGAATTATCACGTCCGAATTATCATTGCGTCAACTCGCGTGTTCTCAGGCGTGTGAATGTTTGCGAGAACAGTCCTCGTCGCTTCTCGTTTTGTTTGGCTTTGACAAAGCACCGACGTTTATTCAACGCAACCTGACATGTAACAACATTAAGGAGGCTCCTCC